AGGTGAGGTGTGGGGGTGGAGAGAGCACGGTAGATGCTGCTCAAGCCACCGTCACTGCCCCAACCCTGTCGTGGAACACACGGGGGACATCTTCATAAAAGACGGTCGAACAATCGGATACGATAACCCGGCGAGAAAACCGATCCACCGCCATCAAAGCTGCCTCCGGAGGATTCGGATTGTGAAGTGCCGGGAAAGAATCCTGGACACAGGTCCCGGAAATTCTGGGTGTGCTCAGAATTTGCTATGTTATGACAGTTTTATTACGATGGAGCAGCTGCGTCTTGGAGACTGCTAACGTGGACTTTCTTCTAGATTCCATCTAAGACGATGCCACTACGGATGCTTATATGAAGCTGGGTAAAAATGATATAAGAGCTCGCTGAAAACCCCTAACAAACTGCTGAATATTAACCAGGAAACCTGGGGAAGGATAGTCAGGCTTGACATACCACCGTCGAACCTGGCGTGGTCATATTCGTGGTCAGTGGAGTACGAAAGACCAAGGCTTCACCAGCGGTAATTCGTCCTCCGCTACTCCGGATAGGACGTCGTGTTGAACTGTGCGTGACTTTGCTCGTAGCGAGACAGACTTTTGTTACTTTTGCTTCATGCTCTCTTTTCACGCCCTCCAAGTTTTGATGACAAGATGAGCCGAAGGCGACCGAAGCTGTCGTAGGCACAGCGACTGACAACGTCAAACTGCCCACCTTCGCACACCACTCGCCATCTGGTTCCAAACTCCGCACATACCAGAAATCACCAGCAATATATCCTATTGAACATGAGCGAGAGGGCCATAAAAGGCACGCTAAGAAAAAACCCTTGTAACCTCACCTTCAGTCCGGAGTTTAACCGAGTTATCACCTTTGAAAACATAAATTTAAGCGATGGTATATAGGTCCAAGAACGTCGTGAAGGATGCGCCAAATTGCCGTAGCGGAAGGTGCCTTAGGATCTGTCTCTCACTCTGTCTTACCTCTTCCATACACCAGTGGCTTTTCCAATCCTGTCGGCAGACTGCTGATCAGACTGGTTGCAGTGGCTGGGGTGGCACAAGAATTCCACCAACTGAGTCACGTGTGCACACATGCACGCTAATTCGCTCCTCACAGCCGGCATCGGCAAACCTCATTGCAGAGTTGATGCATGACGGGTAGGTAGCTTTACTGTGTGTGTATGCGTATAACCGGAAAGCTCCGTGTGGTGACTGGATGTATGGGACCAGTGTGAACATGAATTGTGGATGCTATTTTAGTAACTGATGTCGCTTACGCGCATATGGCCGAATCGGCCAGTGAGGGGGTTGGATGCGGGCGCACACTGTGAGCCGGCAAGAGGTGTGGGCCATCGCCATTGCGACACGTAGCATTTGCATCCGATTTGGATATGAGAACTATCGGCGCTGTGTATGAACTGATTTTCTCCTAACCACAATAATTCGAATTTGACACAAAAACGCTAAATATTATTATAAGAGAACAGGAGTATCCGCGGGGTGAGGACGCGCTGTAAAGCAAACATTCCGTCAACATTTTTCGAGCAAAATTTTTACTTGCGTGACTGGGCCCAGGGATAAGTTACCAACTTACCCAAAATTCAATGAAGACTCATGTGCAAGTCACCCAAACAACTCAAATATCTTTTGTCCATGATATATGCAAATGCCCAACGTATTAGTACAAACTCGCCTTATCGTGTGTAGGACGGACTGTGTTCTCGTAGGTGTCAACTTAATTCAACTCATCATTATAACAAATTTCCGCAGTCATCGCTTCGAAATCTTTGAAATCCAAAAAAGGTCTGTGTTGAGAGAGTATTTCTCCTTGGACGGGATAGTGGACGCGTGGGATTATCTGCCTTTCAAGATCGCGATACCTTCGTCTGCGGAAACTCCAAACCACAGTCTTAACAGACACATATTAAAGCACTTAAATAACTACGATACCAAGTCAACCATATGTAATCCTGCATGTAAGGAACTGCGTTCGATCTCAGCGGCAGTCGTAATTACCTTAAGCGGTCATCAATAGTTTCGGTTAGAATATGCCAAATAGGAGTTCAGGGGTACACACACAAACACATTCAGGTTCCCTCAAATGTATTAGATCGAACTGAAAAGTGATTACCTTTACTGGTCGCCCTAAGCATAGCTGCGTGGTGGATACCACTTAATTAGGCCACATTTGGCTAAAACCCTTTGAGCCCCATTAAGCGACTGCTCCTATTGTCCGAGGTGTAGAAATGAGCTAAGGCCCATACTGGCTTTTCGCGTCAGGGTAAAAGTTCGTAAGCGAACGAGATTTTAAAAGATTCCTTTACTGAACAACAAAACTCACCTGCATTTAAGTGAGTTATGAAACAACTGTTAAAGTTGTAGTGACTTGTTCAAAAGCAGAAGCTAAATGCAATGTAGATGTACACATTAGTTGGATAAATTAACGCGCAAATGATTAGTCTGGAGACAAATACAGACTAAACCCCGACGTGTTCTCTCCATAGATTAAAATGAAACGAACTCCAGGAATAAGTCTTGCTCGTAAAACGGGCTGCCTACTTTGCCTTCCCGTCCAAAAGTGCCATAATTCTGCATTACAAGTCGTGAAATCCAGGTCAGTAACTTGATTACTTCCAGGCTTCCTACCCGCATAGCCTTCCTGATATTCTGGCCTCTGAGCCGTTTTCCGAAAACTATCCACCAATCCCATACTTGCAGTCGGCATGTTCATCATGGCAGGGGAGGCTATAAGCAAGACACTAGTGTTGGGCTTTTGCTTCTACACTAGGAGCACAAGGGCAATTTTGTAAGCAGATGCCAACTTTTTTCTGTGGCACGCCGTGTACGTAGGAGCGAATGCTTTGCCTACGCGACCAGACAGACTTACGTTCGCCTGGTGCCAGCTGGCGGAGACCAAACTATCGATCAGCATCAGGGCTATTGTGTTCATCCTTCTGCCCTTCCAGCGGCCGTCGGCGCAAAATTCGGCCCCGTTTTGTCAGCGTCGTCAGCGTTCACACCGCATGGCGTTCGAGAAATCTCATGACTGACTGATTAGCATGGCGTAGAGGTGCGCATGATCCGTGCAGACTACTTAACTGAAATTACGGTAAGCAGACCGCTCCATTGTCTGTCTAGATGGTGGTTATCTTCCCAGACTTGGCTGAATTAGCGGAAAAGGGGTGTGGACGAGCGAAATTAATTTAGACACCAGTTCGAGTGTACGGATTAACCCTTTTTGTTCTTCAATATTTCTTCTGAGTAAATGGCTTGTCTGATTGCCTGGAATCCATTGTATGGTATATTCCATTCACACGGTAATTTTCCTACCCACTGAATACTGAGTTTTCTTCCCTTTGTTTATCTGAACTACAATAATGAGGTCAACTGTACCCCACGATAGCTCCGCTTTGATGGAAGTCATATCTGACGCGGATTTTGCAATAACTCAACGAAGATTCTTCATGATGTTCATAGTTGCAGTTTTCAGTAGTTATCGCTTATGGTTTTTTTGGTTTTAACTGTTTTGCGTACCCATTTTGCTCACTTTGGATGGGGACTTTTTGCGGGAAATTTTGGAATGACACTTCCAAATAAAACTTACACATATATATACTGCATATATTGTATATTGTATATACCCGATCACATCCGACATGACAACGAGCACGTGACTCAGTGGTTAGGGCGTTGGAATTTTACCCAACAGATAGCGAGGTCGAGCCCCAGGTGTTGCACACCTCGAGGTTGGGTATGGCTGGCTGACGACGGCTAGTAAGCCGAAAATGGCCACTCAATTCTTCCCTACCTTTGTTGGCAATATTATTCTGCATATATTTGTATATATGGCAAAGGTATCATACCATACTCCCGGCATGGGTACTAGCTAAAGGCCTATACACGCGTTTCGCCTATGTGCCGCTGCGTGACACAGCTGCATCGTGCACCCGTTGACTGTTCTTGCTCAACATTCAAACATGTCAACTGCGTCTAAGGCGACCCATTAGAATAGACAGAATCACGGTAACAATGTTCCTGAGTACAACACATTTTCCATTATCAGAGGGCTTCAAAATATCATAAGTGTCCTACAGGGCAGCATTATTCTTGTCACCCTAAAAAGGTCAATAGCTATTTCGTCTCTCCGATATTGGCGAACGTTGAGCTTTTTAGACGGAATCGCTTTTAAGTACTTTATAAGGCATGGCCTCAGTCGTACTCGCGTGACCGTATGTTATGAACCATGTTCACTGCTTATCTTGGTCCTCACACCGAGCGACAACCAAGCACGGCATTTTCTAAGCGTCCGTCTATAGTAGTAATACAAATCTGTGAGCCAATCCTCTAGTCATTTGAATGCAATGTCGGCAAGTGCCCTTTCAAACGCAGAAAGAGGATGCTGGCTACAATCCGCCTATTGTCTTCGGAGAATAGGTCAGCCGTTGTTTCATCAATTATGTATGACCAACTTGCCCATGAGGTGGAGGATCGTTGGAGGTGTTTATGTCAGCGCGCACGCTTCATTCGCCCCCCAAGCGCTTACTGTTGTTAGGGGAGACATGGGTAATATTCTTAAATGGCCAAAATCCAATGCTTCCTTCTAATCTTCGCCTGCATTGAGCTCTGGCTCGAACAGAACAACTACAGCTAGGTAGGTATTTACGCCTTTTTCCGCCTCATAAAGATCGTGGTACGGCCACGTCAGTCGGAGTCCCCGCACGTAGCCGTCGCCGCGGTGGCCGATAGATTTCGACTTTTAACTACTGTTCTTGGTAAATCTGGCATCCAGACCTCAAAAACTGAAGTGATTAAGGTAAAGCATGAGTCGTTGTTCATTATAATGATTATTTTTGGGGTGTAGGGGTGTCTAGTTGTGGGTCGATATGATCGTCGTAGTAGGTTGTCCACTTGCGTGCAAACAACCTACGTCAAACGCACTACCAACGACCACAAAGCAGCCTTCTACCGTAGTCGCCGCCTTTTGCAATAGCGTCTGCGGAAGATGCAGGACGCTTGGACGGCTCAGAAGGCCGAGGAAATCCGAGGATACACGGACCGAAACAAATGGAAGTATTTCTCCATCGCGATCAAGGCTGTCTACGGCACCGTAGCCAAAGGCACCGCTCCTCTTCTCAGTGCTGACGTAACTACCCTACTCACAGAGAAGACGCAAATTCTGCAACGATGGGCCGAGCACTTCGGAGGCGTCCTCAACCGTCCCTCCACCATCTTCGACGCCGCCATCGCCCGCCTGCCTCAATTGGAGACCAACACAGACCTCGAACTCCCGCCTCCCTTTTCCTCGAAATCATCAGGACCGTACAGCAGCTCTCCAGCGGGAAAGCGCCTGGATCAGACGCGATTTTTGCAGAGATTTACTAACACAGCAGTCCCCAAATCATGGATCATATGACAACGCTCTTTTAGGGGATGCGGCGTCAAGGAGAAGTCCCTCAGTATTCCAAGGACACCACAATCGTCCATCTCTACAAGCGGAAAGGGAACCGCCAACTCTGAGACAACCACAGGGACATCTCCTTGCTAAACATTGCCGGGAAAATTTTCGCTCGCATTCTCCTCAACCGTCTCAACAGTCATCTGGAACTTGGACTCCTGCCGAAAATCCAATGCGGCTTCAGCCGTCATCGTAGGATTACGGACATAAGCTTCGCCGTCCCTCAACTGCAGAAGAAGTGTCAGGAGATGCCAATCCACCCCTGCTATCCCTCCGTGGATCTTATGAGAGCCTTCGATTCAGTGAATCGCGAAGGGCTCTGGCAAATGATGCATAAATTTGGCCGTTCTGAGCGATTTACTCAGACGATGCGTCAGCTCCACGATGGCATGACGGCGCGCGTCACGGACAATGGAGCTGTCTCAGAGGCATTCGCAGTGACCAACGGAGTGAAGCATGGCCCCGTCCTCACGCCTACCCTCTTCAGCTTCATGTTCTCTGCCATACTAATGGACGCCTATCGTGACGAACGCCCCGGGATTCGCTTCGCCTACAGGACGAATGACCACCCTCTCAATCAGTGGCGGATGCGCTTCCAGTCACATGTGGCCCCAACGACCGTCCATGAAACTCTCTTCGTTGGCCACTGCGCTGTCAACGTCGCCACAGAAGGGGGCATGCAAAGAAACATAGACCACTTCGCTGCCGCCTACGAAAATTTTGGCTAGTCATCAGCATGGAGAAAACGGTAGCTATGCAGCAACCGCCACCCAACGCTGTCTACAGCACATCCCGATTCAACGTGAACGGCGCCCAACTGCAAGCCGTGGACACCTACGCATATCTGGGCAGCACCTTCTCTCACAACAGTAAATATCGACGGTGAAGTGGCTCACCGCATTTCCACAGCCGGCCAAGCCTTCGGTCGTCTACAGAAGAGTGTCTGGAACCGTTACGGTCCCCATCTCAAAACCAGGCCGAAGATGTACAGAGCAGTCATCCTGCCCTCGCTGCTGTAAGGATCGGAGACCTGGATGGTCTACAAGAAGCAGTCGCGGAGAATCAGCCGCTTCCACCTCAGTTTCCTTCGTCGAATACGGAAGCTGAGGTGGCAGGACCGGATCTTGGACACGGATGTACTGGAAAAGACGGGAATCCTCGGCATCTACGTCATGCTGAGGCAACTGCAAGTGCGTTGGAGCGGCCGCCTCGTGCGAATTTACGACGAGCGGTTACCCAACTTACTCTTGTACGGAGACGTCGTCACGTGTTCCCGCCGCCAATGAGGCCAAATCTATCGCTACAAGGACATTCTGAAGACCTTTCTGAAACGTCTGCAGATCAACCAGGCCTACTGGGAAGACCTCGCTCGAGACTGACCGTCCTGGATGAGGACAGGGAAGACAGACGCAACGATCTACGAAGCCAACCTCATCACTGCCGCTAAAGCCAAAGGCGAGGCTCACAAATCCCAAATGCGTCCACCATGCAACGCCAACGCTCGGTCGCCCCCTACCTGCCCACGCTGCCAGTAGACGTTTCGGACACCAATCCGCCATGGAATACATCTACGTGCCAACCGCAGCACCCGGACTAAACCAGTCGCGCTCCCCCCGTCAAACTCTGTCTCGTCCTCCACGCCGAAATCGGACACTGACCGCGCTCCTGAGCACCCACTACCATCCTTCTCCTCCACCCCTGCACACAATCCAGACGCACCAACAAATATCAACCGCCTCACCGTGAACACTAGCAATATGGACTCGGTCGGTACGTGTTTTTATTGCGACCGCACCTTCACCTCACGCACCGGCCTAGTCGGTCACTTGCGAATCCATCGCACTGAGACGGGCGAGCCAGTGCCTGGAGCACCAACCTACGCTCGCCGCAGTCACCTCTACTGTCCGCACTTCCCCACACTCTCGCTCACCGCATGGGCCAATCCGGTCACATGCGTATCCATGAGATCGGAATTGACCGCAGTCTCGACGCATCCAGCATCTCATGTACACATAGTATACCTAGCTCAACGTACACTCCGCCGCTCAGCGTTTGGACAATCAACAACTGCCACTATCTCCGAAACTGACACTACCCTCTCGTTCTGCCCACTCTGTCATCGTACATTCAGGTCATCCATCAACCTGGTCGGTCACTTGCGAATCCATCGCACAGAGGCTGACCAACCAGTGCCTGGAGCACCAAAATGCACTCGCCGCATCCACCTCAACTGCTCTCACTGGAGCCGCATATTCAATCGCCGCATGAGCCTATTGGAACACATGCACATTCACGAAAACCTGCGGTAGACAACTGCGGACTACACTACGCCGTCCTAACTTCCCCCACCAACAACTGCATCACACAACGTCATCATCCACCACGAGCATCCAAATGCCACCTCCTACGCAAGTGGGAAATGTGCGTCTCAGTTCCGTCTTCATACGGTTCCTCTGCCGTATGTGTGATCCGAGTTCGAGACTATCATGGTGCGTCAAGCATCATGGCTTGGAAGGCTGCTGACTGATGCCCCAACTCAGTCCACGCAGTCCGTCCAGTTGTGTGTGCGTGTGTGTTTGTGTGGAGTTTCGACTAGTGGTGTGAGAGCCAGACTGTCACAGCTACTTTTTACGATGACCTATGGCACTCTCACGCCTTTGAGCTGTAGACCGTCAAACCCCTGTTGTGTGAAATCCTGGTGCTTATGTTTGGGGGACCATGTCATGCATGTGGCGCGCGCAGACAAGGTCACTAGACCATGTCAGCCACCGCGCCCATTCCTCGCACCTGTCAGCTGCCCGGCTCCGACAGTGGCTGGGGCCTGGGAATGGGAAAGGAGAATGAGGTCGACGACTCAGTTCATTCTCCTCCTCCTCACCATAAACAATCTGACGCGCTGGAAGTTATCACGGAGCGGTAAAAGCCGTGGCTTGGAAGTTTGCCAACTGACGGGGTTACTTGGACCTCGCAGTCGGTCCAGTGTTGTTTGTTTGTGTGTAGTGGCCAACTGGTGGTCTGAAAGTCAGACTGCAATGGTTCCTTCTTAATATAGCACTCTCGCTGTGTGGGAAGCAACGATCGGGTGAAGGACCCCAAACACCCAACCAGTCAAAGGTGCCTGTTTTACGCTAAAAGGTGGTAATAGGAGTTTTACGGGGGGTCTTTGAATGCATAGAGGAATGGCAAAATAAGTATAGATAGTTGATAATTTCGTTTTTTTGGACGGAAAACTTTTAATGCATTGACATGTAGCAAACAGAATTAAACAGGACAATTAAAAAAATAAACATTAAGTGTATACAACGATCGCCTCTCAATTCTCTGGTCTGAGATCAATGTAGATAATGCATAAGACCATCTACAACAGATGACCCAAACTTGTACGATGAAACACCAAACCGAAATAGTCGTGCCGGACTAAAACCCACTTAAATAAGTATAGTAGGTATTCTTTGTATACCACGGATACTTGGGGGCCATTACTCGATCCTTACCGTGTGGGATCCGAGCCGGATGTGGCGGCACGCCTAGGTGCGTCTTTGGCCGTGTCAGCCCCCCCATTGTTGTTGTTGGTTAGAAAAAATCTGGTCATTTGTTGTGTGGAGAAGGCGGTGTGGAGTGGAACGCCAAGGAGCGGGCTCGATCGTGCCATCCACCTGCGCTCTCTCCCCGCCTCCAGTTCTCTTATCTGTCTTGCCACCGGGTCAAGGTGGGGGAGGGGGGAGAGTGTGAAGATGCTGCGCAAGTCCACATTAACTGTAGACTGAATCACGCGCAAGTAACCGTGTCTGCTCTCACCTTGCTATGGAGCACACGCTGGACATTGTCTAATGCCACGGTCGAACTGTCAGTGATTGTTTCTCAAAGTGGGGTTTGGAGGATGTTTATTGGGGTCGGGTGCATCGTGAGGAGTGACAAATAGTCCCTCGAGCCTGGTACACGTGGTGGTTGCCTCACACGGTCCCTAACTACCACCAACCTGTGCCTCCACGAAGATGTACGATTCTCGGCCATTACATCTCCGTGAACGCTTTGAGCGGCGGACCAAAACGGACGAGGACGTTGAATGGTTGTGTGTCTCCACATTTGGTAGTAGCCAACCGGATAGCCGCCATCAAGGTAAAAAATGCGGCTCACAAGTCTCAAGCGTCGCTGACCAGCGACTCAAGAACACAGCCCCTTGCATGATGCCCACTCTGTCGAGTGTGCCGACGCGACTGCGCAGAAGGCGGAAAGGTGCATTTTCTCTATGGCAAACACTTTGTTATATCTCTGAATTGTACACAGCTGTTTATGGTTATTCCATTTATCACGCATTTCCCAACTTCTTCCTCATTCAGTTTTGCTTAATCCGGCGTTTATTAACCGTTTTGTTGTGTGTTTCGCTCGAGGTGGATGCTTTCACATAAATTACGATCGGCAAATTAATAGAGGCATCTTCTCCGTCTCTCGCACTTTTCTGCGTACGTGTGTCGGTGACACTGAGGGGCTTAGTGGTGCGGCAGTGGGGTGTAGGGGTGTCAGCGGTGGGTTCACGTGAAGGTCGCAGTGGTCGCTCACTTGCTTGCAGGTGAGACTACGCCTAGCGTCCACTTGCTGGCACTCAACTCTCACCTGTGGCTCCACGTAGCTGGGCTCTGCTCAGCGGCCACACCCCGGGCAACCGTCTCGACCGGCGGGCTAAACCAGGTGAGGGCGGTTACTCCCTGTGCGCGTTGTGCCGCGTGCACAGGTGACAGCGGACTCCGTGGACGGTTGGTCGGATGGAACACCGCGTCGGCGCCGTCGTGACGAGGCTCTGTCTGACACACCGCTGGTCAGCCGGTTGGTGGTGGAACGTCGCATCGGCATCGTCTAGACGAGGCTCCGCCTGGTACGCCGTTGATCAGCCGGTGGGATGGATCTCCGAATTGGCACCGTCGACACGCGCCATCTGGTGCACCGTAGGAGACCGCAGGCTTGCGGCAATGCCGTAAGCCATTGGCAAATTCGAGTCGTTCTTCCACTGCCAAAAAAACTCGTGGCCCACAGTGGAGTTCGGCCGCGCCGGCACATCAAGCAGCCCCTATTCAGGGGTCAGGGCACTGCTTCCTTCGGGGGGGCCTGGAAAAGCTGGCCTAAAAATTGCTGGGGAACCACGTCGTCTGCTGGCGCACCGTGGTCGCAGACGCAAAACTCACGGTCGAAACAATCAAACTCGAAACAACAACAACAACCATACTCATTCTCCTCATCCTACCTCTTCTACCTCTACCTCCGTCTATTCTTCTGCCTATTCTTCTCCTTCGTCATCTTCTTCTCCACCTCCTTCCCATCGCCCCACTCGTTTTCCCCAGACTGGCAGGGTGAGCCCGCCCACTCTGGCAGCCTGGAATGTTCGTTCCCTTTTAGACAATCCGAGGAGCAACCGTCCGGAACGGAGGACGGCGCTAGTGGCACGAGAACTGGCGCGCTACAAGGTGGACATCGCCGCACTCAGCGAGACCCGATTCTCCGAACAAGGCCAACTGGAGGAGGTGGGTGCCGGTTACACCTTCTTCTGGAGTGGCCGACC